TGTAACTGACCTGTAGTCGTGGTAGTGGCACGTCGTTTTGACGACAGTCCCTGTGCTGTGGATCTCAATTTCTACGTAGGTTAAATGTTTTGTGTTATTTGTCTCTAGCCGTCCACGCTGACAGTTCCTGTGCTGTGGATTTCCTTTTTCGTTCACCATCCCTCCTGGTTAGCTTGTCTTTTCACCTGTCCGTCCTCATCCTCACTCTCCTGTTTGTTGCCGTTAGCCTGTCTTCTCCCCTGGTCGTCCTGTTCTCCTTAGCCGTATTTGCTCAGCCCTGGTTGTATGTGGTCCTTGACTCTGTTCCTTTTTGTGATCCCCACCATAAAACCACCTTTTTTACTAGCACCTGGGTCAGCAATCTTGTGCCCTACCTCAGTTTGCACTCACCCTCCCAGTGAGGGGGACTAAACCATAACACCCGGTCTCATCTCGTCTTGTCTCCTCTCGTCTCCTCAGAGAATTGGTGTGAGGCGTTATCTTCTACTACCTTACAGTGCATGTAGCAGTAATGGGCTTACATGTTTCTATCATGACAAATATCAACAGCACTGATGCTTAATTAATGCAATGACCCAAATGATCAAGTTATTAAATGTAATAGCATTCTTTGCATAAACACTAGAATCAGTCAAAAGAAAACTCTTTTATCCTTTAACTAAAGTTATCATCATAAGTAATAATTCTGCAGAACTGATCTCATTTACACTGCCACTATAGTTAATAATGGTCTATAATACTGCAGTGGAAGGTCCCCCTTTTCCTTCCAGCTGTGGAAGTCCTTAACATTGTATTTTATAATACACAGTTGACCAAATATTTGTTAAACTGAAGCCATAATGTGAACACAAGCAGAAGGTGCCCACCTACACAGCACATTCTCACTTGTGGTGTAGACATAAAATAAAAAACAAAATTTCAAAAGTGGACTGCTCAGAAACATACAGTGCAAAGAATTCACAAGGTTAGGGCACTTGCTTGCTTAGATGTCATGGGGAGAGGTCACACATTTGAATTCAGCTAAGTGACTTCAGTCCTGTACTAACAGGTTGTCCAATACAAGGACGGAGATCATACGTTTGACAAGTGCTTAAAAGCTCTGACTGAACTTGAGTTCAAGAATGAACCTTCATTCCCAATACAGTAACTACCCTAAAGCAACACTAAACATTTTTGCTCACACCACAGGGTGTTTCTAAAATACATCCCTAACAATCACTGAAAGATTTTGCAGCTTACATACTTCTGGTCCCTGTTGTAGACACAATTTCAAATACTAATCTGTGGCCAGGAATGAAATGTCATAAGCAAAGCCTTCAACCTGAGGCCTGCTTTTATTACAGATAAAAGTAGGAGACACTTAACTTATACAGCTCAGTCAGCAATGACACCAGTGACCATGTCCTCTTCTGAGAACAGAATATCCTCAGTGTGTTTCATTTCTCTGTACCTCTACAGCCTACACTATCTTCATACTGTATAAAAGGCACCCTGCCACCCAGACAAACCCAAAAAACTGGGAACAGTACTTCCTCATCCCTCTACATTGTATGAAGACCACGATATGCTAACCCCTGGACATAGGAACATAGCTTAACCTCTCACGCTACGGTGGCATATTTGAAACATATTCAAGCCCCAAACACTGCTAGAGGTTTTTTGGCGGAGATATCAAATCAAACTTTATTTGTATAGCGCCAAATCACAACACAAGTCATCTCAGGACACTTCACAAAGTAAGGTCTAGACCTTACTGTTATCACTATTATTACAAAGGGAAAACCCAACAAATCCCCCTTGAGCAAGCACTTGGCGACAGTGGGGAGGAAAAAATCCCTTTAATGGAAGAAACCTCCAACAGACCCTAGCTCTTGGTGGGTGGCCTTCTGCCTCGACCGGATGAGTGGATAGAGGAGAGAGAAAAGAAGAAAAGCAACAAGACAGATATTCACTCAGTAATTGACTACCAGAATTCCCTGCGGACCTCCCTCTTACATGTCATTAATTCCAGACAAGACCACAAATCCCCCTGAACCAAAACAACCTGCAGTTATAGGCAGCTACTTCCTTATACCATCCGATGTTATTCTGAGAAAGTTTTAAGAACCAGTATACTCTGGCGCTTTGAGGAAGTGTCGAGTTTTGTCTGAAATAACCCATAAAAGCTGTGACACTGGCCATTTAAGACCACATTTACTTTGCATAGTATTTAGCTGACATCCATTATTTTCCAAGATAGGACCCTTGAGTTATAGTGTATATGATGTAAGGATTAAGCAGTTGACTATTTTCTAAAGTATTCTGTCATGAATTTGTCTGAATATTGTCAGTAATTTCATGTTTATCGTGAATCATTATAGATTTTCTCTTGAAAGATTAACCACTTTTAAACTACTGACATTATAGTCTGTGTTCACTATCATATACAGCTTCACACATTACTACATACAAGGTCTAAAACCTTTCTAAACCTTAAGAATAATACAAAACCCAATTTCAATTAAGTTGGGAAATTGTGTCAAATGTAAATAAAAACAGAATACAATGACTTGCAAATCTTTTTTGACCCATATTTAATTGAATACACCACAAAGACAAGATATTTAATGTTCAAACTGATAAACTTTGTTTTTTGCAAATATTCACTCATTTTGAATTTGATGCCTGCAACACCTTCCAAAAGAGCTGGGACAGGGGTATTTTTACCACTGTGTTACTGTTACGGCTAGCCGTCAGGACCATGAACTGAGGACCTAGTAAGTGCCAGACTCGGACACAGACATCAGAGAAAAACAAAGGCTTTTAATCAGGGAGGACAACAGAAGGTGTAAGGAGTAGTGGAGACGTTACGGCCGGTACGGGTGACTGGGAGCTGTGTCGACTGGACCACTCGGTGAGCAACCCAGGGTACGGCGAGCAGAGGCAGCCACTAAATTGAGAACAGAGTAGGGTGAGAAGACTAAGCAGATCAATACTGACTGTGTG